GACGCTTTTAGAAAAGCATAGTTGGCCCAGTGAGCAGAGAAATGCAAGCTGGCTTCATCATCTCCCTCGTCAGCATGTACGTTTCCATTTCCTTAAGATTACCAGTCAAAACTGAAGGTTGACAGTTCTTATGGTGTGAATGTTCCAGTGAAAGTTCTAATGTTAAATCCCTCACAGCAAGGGGGATTAGGGAACTTTCATGTACTCAGAGGGGTGGAGAATAAGAGAAGGGAGGAGGGAGGGAGAGAGACAGACAGAGAGACAGACAGAGATAGAGAGACAGTGGTAAAGTGATTGCTTTGGAACCTTGCAGCGAAGTCCTGCAGCAAAAAAGTGGTGTTGTGATGCTGACATGCAGTAAAGCTCTGCATTTGTGCAGTAAGACCCCAAGTCTATCGGGCTTCTCATTTGACAGCTACAACCCCTTTCTGCCACTCACTCTCTGTGTTTTCTCCCTAGGCAACCGACTCTTCCAACATTACAAACAATGTCAGCCCAGGTGATTAAACCAATGAGATTCTAATCTTTTGTTCCCTCTGACCAAATAATAGATACACCAAGTGATCCCAGAAGCAAGAGCCACGATTTATGAATGCAAAAGCACAAGCGCTGCTGTAAACAAAGGAGTGGCACAGATACCTCCTCACAGCCCCCATGCTGTTAGAGCAGGTTGCTGAGGTGGCAGTATTCTCTGAATAAGAATGTCAAATAAAGGTTTGCTTTGGATGTGATAGGAGGGATGATGGCACTGTCCTCTCTTTTTAGCAAGACGAATGATGGAAATGCATTCCGTGGTGATGTTTTAGCCAGGCAGCAGATTAAAAATGAAGAGAATGGAGAGGGGGAACATTGCTAGCATACAAACACTGCTAAAATAGCCAACGTCCAAATATCAAATAACCAAATATCAATTACTAACGCAGCCAAAACACAACAGACATCATAACAGCTCATTTCAATCAACCATATCCTACATTCTTCATAAATAATATTTACATGACCATTTTCAAATGTCTCTTTATTACTCAGATTTAACAACTTGTTTTTGTTGTCATATTTGTAAATGAACTCTGTTCTGATTGAGCCCTATATTGCACCTCATTCAACAAGCAGTTCAGGCTCAAAAAATTCTTGTAACTTCAGCATGAGTGGGCAGGGTTAAACTCTGGCTGAATAGGTCGATATACGTAAATGTGTTGGTTTTTGTGACATCAAAACTCAAAATGGGCTGTAGTTTAATTTCCATATGTAGAGTGTACGAACTGGGGACAGAATATGGAGTAAATATTTATGGAGTAAATATGGAGTAAAAGTTTTTAATCTTTACCAGAATTTACACACTACATTACACTCTTTTATTTAAAAAATGCATGAAAATGTCATTTTTCAGTGATACAGTTCCTTTAATTTAGTATCTAGTCAGGCAGGCTTATTCCACTCATAGGCAAAGTAACATTATCCACTGCCAAAAAAGAAATCAATCTTACTCTAAAGCCCATTTAAAAGACATAGTAATTAACATAGTCCAGCAGTTGGATGGCCATCATTTGGTCAGTCAGCTGAGAGGTTAGATAGGTCACTCAATGAGAGGAATCAGCCTTCTCAATCCTGAGCAGAGCACAATGTCATCCAGCCTGGTACTAAATGCTGTAATCTGCGCTGAAGCTGCCCAGCTCAGACTACGCTAATCCCCATAAGAAAGAGGAGCCAGATGGTCGGCAACAACTGCTGGAGGCCCACAGAGGAGCACAGCGACATGCCTGTGGCTCCTGACGCTATTTACCTTGTGCCTCGAGTTACACTGGTAAGCCCTGGGTAGAGGCAGCGGGCAGGAGCACCTGGCCCTGCGGTACTAAAGAACTGTGCTCTGCAGGGGATGGGGTGTCAGAACTGAGTATTCCACAGAGCAGTAACCTTGCAATTCCAGGAGTGCCAAAGCCAGAGCAGCACTGTCCCAGGGGTGTCAGGATACAGAAACGCACGCCCCCCAGTGCTCAATCACCTTGTTCTCTACCAAAAGGGACCATCAGATATGGGAAATCAAATGCTATGAATTAATAACTGAAATTAAACATTTTGAAACATTGATAATGCCGGTTTGAGGCTAATTTCTCTAAACAACTGCCACTTTGGTACAGAGATGGCCAATACAATGATATTTAATGCCATTGCAATAAATTACATCACAATATACTTTTCTGAGTGTATCATGGATATCATCAAATACTTAAACAACACTAAACAGCTGCATGCTTCATTAGAAACAGTGCATTATCTGTATCCTGTGTGGATTAGAAAAGTACTGTTATATTTTTGCAATATCATCCACCTCAACATACGTACACTAGTTTGTGTACTCATTAAACAGGGAGGGGGAATCTAGCCATTCACTCACAACAGCACAAACCAGCATGTCAGTTAGGAGAGAAATGCCTCAAATTGATGCCACACATACCTGATCTTAAATCAGATTTTCCTTAAATCAAACGCCTTCCATTTTCATCATGGCTCATATTATTTCATACATATCTCATTATCTTTAAGCTTCTGATTAGCATTAGGAAATATACCAATATAGGGCACATAATAAATACCCATATATTACATGGAAAAATACATCATGATAAGATGCTCATATCACCTACTTCAAACATCCTCTCCCTGGAGGCACAACCCAAACCACAGGGTTCTCAGTCAGACACCTATGGTGATGCGACTCAGCTGAAACAGCTAAGCAGCACTCAGACTAAGCAAAATTATCCATGAAGCTCAGGTAATGTGAAAAACCATTAAGTGAACATTAACACCAAGACCATCTCAATTACTGCTCAGAAGGAGCCACCAACACCTGCAGAAGTCTGGGGACATACACAGCCCACCCACCCACACAGGTCAGACACACATCAGTGGGAGCTTTACATATATTACTCTTAGTTACTGTTAGTAATTCAGAAACTGAAGCGGGCACTTTTACCACGGATAGCACTGAGCCCCAGCCTCTCTCTTTCCTCACACTCTCCCATCTCCCTCACTCTCTCTCCCCCTCTCCCATCTCTCTCTCTCTGTGTGTTGTAAATGCGTGTTTCACTCCACAGGGGGTTAAAGCTCTACTGAGCTGTGAGAGTCCCTGAGGGAGCATTAGTGAGGGGATCTCCCTCCGGCAGACAACGACAGAATCACACTGACATAATGACCTACAGCACTACACACACACACACACACACACACACCTTCACAACTTAAGGCTTTTCGCCAAAATCATGAGAAGGCTGTGGACTCTAGCACCCAGCAGGCCAACACACCATGTGTCACAGAGGAATCAAAGTTCAGGCAGGCTCCTCAGAGGGATCTGAGTTACTCACTCACACACACACACACACACACACACACACACACACACACACACCACACTCCTACACTTCTCTCTCTTTTCTCCCCGTTCTTGAACCTCTTCATGGGACAAAACAGCACTAGAGGCCACACTGGATCAGTTCTCTGCCCTTATGCTGCACATTTCATCAGATGTGCCCCAGATAAAGGCTTCCGGGGGAGTGTGTGTGTGTGTGTGTGTGCGCATGTGCATATGCATGTGTATGTGGTTGCGAGGTAAACTCTATGGTTTTTAATGTTTACGCATGAGTGCCTTTACACAAAGGACAGAACCCACTGTCCTGCCTCTCTTACACACACACACAATCTCTGCTCTCTTTCTGTAAGCCTTTAATCCATTGCCTGAGTGGTCCTGAGATACACACATTTCAAAAACATGTGCATGGTAGGCAAACATCCTCGGTCACTAATGGCATGGCAGCTTGGGCAATTTTATTTTTGCATATTTGAAACATAAATAGTGGTCAAAGGGGCTCATATCACAGAAATCTAATTTTTTTCTCATTTTTTACGATTAAAGACTTTGATGTAGTATATAAATATTAGTCAAGTTTCTAAAAATACTATTAACTCCCCAGTCCAAACAGCCCATATATGGAAACAAAGCTGCAGAATTAGCTCATTTGTTGCATTCGTGATGTCACGAAAACCAATACATTTAGATCTATCCACCTATTCAGCCTACAGCAATTTTACTTTGCCCATTCACCCTGAAGTTAAACTGAGCAATTCAGCCTGGACTGCTTTTATAATGAGGCACAACGCAGGGCCAATCAGCACAGGTTCTAATTGCATATATCAGTCTTAAAGGCACAGTAATAAAAACATGCTGTTTAATTCTAAGACATAAAGATAGATCAGAAAATGATCATGTAAAAACAAAATATGACTCTTTTTGGTAAAGAAACTAATGCAAATATCATAAGTGCACCCCAGAGGGAAAAAAATGACAGAATACAGACCCTTTAAAAACTGACCAATATAATGCCCTGCATCTGTATGAAGCGTCACGGAACAATCAGATACTTACACTCATGAAATCTTGTTCATTCATTCTGTAAACACTCACATCGTCTTTCCTAATTGTACAAAAGCAGTTTCTCCCAACACAGTTTGCAACAATGAAACCTCAAGTTATTTAAAGGAATTCCAAAAGGCTTCATGACTATGAATGCTACAGTTGGGTAACCACACCAATTCCGGTTTTCTACAGATTAGTCTCTGGGTTCTCTGAGAAAAAGCTGCACACAAGCTAAACTCATTTTTTTCCCATGGGCCCCCCCAGGACACTCAATGGCAGACAAAAATAGTAGTGCGTTCGTAAATGAGAGCACATGGCATGGAGAGCCTGACGTAACGTAGAGAAATGGCATGATAGGAAAGTCTCATCACCACTGCGTTCACTTTTAGAAATGCAGATGACGACCATTAACATAGTGCCTCTGCATTCCTGTTTCTGAGTGCTTCATCAAAGAGCAGAGATACACTGATCTGAATCTAACCAACCACTCATGCACGCATGCCATTTGCTCCTCAGCATGGAGGAGAGAGCTGGCAAAAGGAGCTTAGAGGTGGACAGGTAAAGAGAAGGAAAATAAGACAACACTTACCCAGAAGATGAGGTTGAAGAGGAACATCATGTACTTCAAACAGCACAGGCAGCCCCTTGCCATGTTGCACTTCTTGAATTCTAAAAGGAACACAAAGGATAGATCCAGGTAAAAGACCACGTATTTGCTGCCTTTGGGGGAGCTGTACTTGTTCCCGCTCTTGTCGTCTGCGGCCGCGCCGCTCTGGCCCGTGCCGGCCTGCTGCTGCTGCTGCTGTGCCCGTGGGCCCGTAGAGCCGTAGAAGGCACCGGCGGTGAAGCCCCGTCCCGAGAAGGGGCGTCCCGAGGTGGACGCTCGAGCGAAGTCCGAGTCGTGGCTGTCCACAGAGGGGCTGCGGTGGATGGCGGATTCTTCGCTACTTGACTTCTCCATGCTCTGGGGCTGCGGCTATGCTTTGCAGGTCATACTCTACCATGTCTCTCAGAATAAGCAGATCAGAAGCTTCAACTAACTCTTTGAAGCTCCACCAAACGGAGCCAGTCCTTTTCCAGTCTCTAAGTCTGATCAGGCTGGTGGCTAATGGACAGGAACTGCCAGAGGAACCGTCTGCCTGGGTTCAACCACACTTGCTCCTCAGCTTCTAAAGCCCAAGCATGAGCTTCTGTGGGAAGTTCCAGCAGCCTATCTGCCCATGTGTTCAGCTCTCGTCCAGGAAAGCCAGGCAGTTCAGCTGCCTGCTGACCTCAGCGCTGCTTTCCAGGGGAAGCTCTAAGAGTTCCCACAGCTTCTAACTTCCACCCCTTCCTTCTGTTCTCTATTTCTTTCCTTCTCTCGCAGCTTCTAACTTCCACCTCCCTCTGTCTGACAGCTTCTGAGCTTCTCCACTGCACCGAGACTCTCTTTCTTTTCTTACAGAGCCTCAGTTATCTGCTTGCTTCTGCTGGAGTCTCATGGTGCTGTACTGCTGCGCTCCTCTCCTCTCTTCTCCTCTCCCCTGTGAGCCTGTGCTCACTCGATCTCTGATGTGTGCTATTATCGGCAGCTGCATCTACTGGGCATTGCCTCCTGTCCCCATCCAGAGCTGAAGCGTCTCTCTCCCCCTCCTCTCCTCCTATCTTGCTCTCTCTCTCGCTCTCTCTACCTCTCCTCCTACTAGCCCCTCCTCTCAGTCCATCAGGCAGCCAATAGGGCAGCAGCTCTTGGCTATAGCCCATCCCTGCAGCCGGCACCGTCTTTAATAAGCTTATCATTACTATGCTTTTTGCCTATACAAGTTCAGTCTGGCCGGGGATAAATTAAAAAATCATGAGCCAGACTGGAGCGATAGGGGGGTCAAAATTCTGCATATTACTTGCAACCAAAGGCATCTGCTGTCAATCAAAACCAGAACTGGGTCTGATACAGTCAACAAAGTTTAAAGCTGTCTTTATATTGCATCGCTGTCAAAATCAAATCTTGGGTATTTGTAATGGCAACTTTAGAGGAGAAACAACAAACAATTATAACTTTAATGTACGTTACTTTGACTTCTGCTGGTCAATTCTGTTGGTCATGAAACGTTTACACTATGAAAAGGGAAGCTGCTGTTGGAATAAAACCTTGTATCTCCATTTTTGTCGTTTTAGTTTTTGACATAATTTGAAAACTCCTGTGGCTGTTTACATTGTGTGTAAATTTCATGATGAATGGAGCAAAAGAAACAATCCAAAATGACTTGGACAAATGTCTGGTTCCACTGACTTACATTAAAAGTAAAGTAGGCTTTTTCCTTCTCTGGTAAAGTTGTCATTTTGGAGATATGAGGTTTTGTTCCAACAACAGCAATATACATATATATTTGACATCACAAAAAACAATGTATTCAAAATGTGCTGCATGCTACATTTTGAAACTTTACAGACAAGCTCTGTTAGTAAAAAAGTGAAGAAAAAATGGTTTTAAATTGCATGGGCACTCAAAAAAAAAATCCTAAAAATTACAAGGTTTTGAAATTATAGCAATGATATTCAGATCGCATATATTGTGTCCCTGAACCATTTTGCTATTCTGTGATGTGAATTCTTGCAGTAATGAATGTTTGCCTGAATTCTGTCCATGGATGTGAAAATGAATAAGAAACAAACAAAAATGACTGCAGTGCATGACCGTTGTCAGGCTTTTGCCCCATGCTCTCTCACTTCCATGTAAGGAGCTCTGATAAACTGCCAGCCTCTCCTCCTTAGGAATTATAGCACCATTTCAAGCATGGAAACTAGATAGTGCCTTACCGATATTCAATGCTTTCCTATGGAGAGCCAGAGACATATTACAGATTACGTGCCACTCAATCATAGAAAGATGACAAGAGATTACAAATGCTAGTGTGCTCTTTTAATCTGGAAACCTGGAGAACCCCTGTTTATCAAGCCATCTATCAGAGTGGTAATTAAAAAGAATGCGCTTCGTATGTGCAGTGGCCCACTGAAACAAAACCTGATTTACCTGTGAGCGAGTGCTTCATGCCCTTTTAATTAACTGCGAGATCTTCACTAAAAAGACGTCCGCCGTTTATCTTTTTGTTAATTCAATTTCCCATAGGCACTGAGAGATAACAGTGATTTAACACAATGAGGCATGGATTCATATGAGGCAATAATCACATTACCACCTAACCTGAATCATTTACTACACTCCTTTCTGCCTTTCTAAACACAATGAAAAATGTGTTTTACAGACATCATACAATTATACTTGACATAAAATCCAGGGGGTTTGTCACATATCACAGTATGGAATTACTATTTGCTCTGATTGTAATGGGGCATTATCTGTTTATGGGCTTTGTGTTTTACTCCCCACACCTGTGGCAGTGCTTATCACAGCTTCCAGTCTCTAAAATACACAACAGCAATGACTGATAGTGAGAGAGAGAGAGAGAGAGAGAGAGAGAGAGAGAGAGAGAAAGGAAAGTAAGATAGAACTTGAGCAGTCCTTAAATGCACAGTACCAATTTTTCATCAAAGCAACAAAACACTCTGTAAATCCTTAACTTTAAGTAGATAAATAAAACATATTCTGATGAACAAAATTCTAAACTTTCAATCGATAGAATATTTGCATTTGTACAAAAAATGAGGGAATAATAAATAATAATTTAAGACCAATTTTGTTGGAAATACATGGATAAATACTAATATGACTAATATGATCATCATATTCTATGGGTTTCAAACTATCTGGAGGAAGCTGGAAAAATGGAAAAAAACTGAAGGATGTGTGGAGCTATGGACGATTTCACAGTAACTGGGAAAGATCTATAGCAGTGGTGTCCAAACATATTTGGTCTCAAGGCAGTCAAAGTCTGTTTGTGGTGGGCTCAGAGTCAAAACGACAATATACATGTAAATGAGGCAGATTTCAAATTGAGTTTTTAAAAGTATTTTAGAAAAATTCACTATATACTGTTGCTAAAATACTTTAAAGTATGAATTTAATAAGCTGTATATAGTATAAAAATAAATGTATTCTTGGGTGAGGAGGTGGGGTTAGGATAACTTTCTGGAGGGCCAAATCAAACAACCTCATGGGCCAATTTACAGCACTGTGAAATTATAAAATATACAATATAATTAATACCCAGAATGCCTCATATTCCAAAAAGCGGTGATCAAATTTAGCTGATCAAATCGCTATTTATTACTTAATGTCAAGAAATTACTATGAATAGTTGTCATTTAATCACAGTTTATTATATACCAGTTATAGTTTATTAATAACATTCTCTTTTTTTGCTATGTCATTCATGTTGTCCCTAAAATCCTTTAAATTATGAATAATCAAATCAGGTCTGGTTTTTGGTTTATAAACTGTCAATCTATACTCTATAATGTTTTATTAATATGACATTCAAAATTTTGAATGCTAGTGTATTACAGCCTTTATTACAACGTTGTGTTTTTTATGGTTTTATTATGGACTGGATGAAAAGTTGTTGTGAATACAGTCTTGTTTTGTAGCCAGCCAAACATTTTAGCCATGTGTTCTAGTTACTTGTTAACATCAGTACTAATGGGGGGAAAAGTCAGAAGTGCAAACTCAAAACTGTTTATATAGAATCTTAATATAGAATGTAATTACAGAATTATGAAATGAATCATGTAATTTTGTTATTACATTTGAAAAGTACAGAAAAATGACAATAACAACTCTAGACTTTCAGGGTTAAACAGGCAAAAAGAACATGAGAAATCACAGAAAGCAGTAAGAGAGAGCAAGAGAGAGAGCGAGCGAGAGAGAGAGATGCCATTGAATTCTTCCCTTTAGAATAACATGACTGCCCTTGGGGCCCGTCGTCTGGAATACAGGTCACCTTTACAGTGAGACACTGGGAAACTGGAGCTAATGCTCTATGTGGACTTTGTAAGAGGTAGTAGTAAAAGCTGAACTCAAGGACAGATGGGAGAGAGTTTCAGCTCAACGCTCTTATGGTAAACCTCAGTAATACCCTGTTTGCCTGTGGCTCCACTCTAATCCATTTTCTTTGTGTTTCAGTCAACAGGCAACAATCTGACAAACCTGACTGAAGCTCCTCAAGATCAAGAACAGGTTAGGCAAAACAAGAGGTTAGGCAAAAGTCAACAACAGGGTTTGCCTTCTGATGCCTGAATCACAGATATCAGTTACCAACTGTCTTAACTGTAGAACTACATCTTCAGTGAAAGAGTTCAACCTCCTGTCATAATCCCATCTACATATACAAATACATTTTCACGTTCATTAGTTAATGGAACTGTTAAAGTTAGCAATTTTGAATTACTTCATTTCACAACATAAAGGGCAGCTGAAGAAAAAAAATGAAAAAATATTCACATATCTTTTCAAATATCTTCTCAAAAATTGCATCTCCACTATAACATTTCAGCAAAAGAGACTGCAGACCCCTAACTTGTCTGCAGAAGTAATTTTACATGGACAGTAATAATTTGGCTGCTCCAACTAAAGTAAGACTGTCAGTTGTGGCTTTTTAAAACCTTCCATTGTACAAGCTCTTTTCCCCTGCAGGCATCTTGAGCACTTCATACGTTCAGCCTTAACAGATTCCTAATATCAGTGCTGCTGACAGCAGGGGTGGAAGGCTGGGCTGCTGGGCTGGAGAGCGGAGCTTCATTCAGCGCAGTGAGGCTCATGCGGAGAGTGGGAGAAGCATAAAGAGCTCTGACCAGAGCCTGTCACTCCCCTGACAGCTGATTCAATATCGCCTGCGTCAATGCCCGCACGCCAGCAAACAGCCATTAATTAGGCCACTTCTGGGGTCTACTGCTGCTAACTCTGCCCTGAGCTGATGGGACACGCAGAACACTATACCCCACATTCAATATACTCTCACACACAGACACAGAAAGAAAAACAAGCACATAAACAGGTAACTCTGAGGCCCAGACTCGGAAAATCAGGTAAGCATCATTGAAAAGTATTCTAGGAATATTAACAGGCACTGCAACTCCAGAAAAACACTTGAAAGGATGTTGAAACATTCTGTGGAGACTGTATTACTAAACACACCAATCTAAGCTGGACGAAAAACACTTCAAAATAAATAAATAAAAAAATTCAATTCTAGTTCCATTCTTATCAGTATAAAGCATGTTTATTAATGATGCACTGATCTGAGCCCATTTGGGTGACATCTAATCAGTTTATCAAGGTTAGTATTGTTGCTGATATCAATCTGGTATCGCCCAGACATAACTGACTGATAACTGGTACCGCTTCTTCGTCATTGTTATAGAACTGTAACAGTACAATTTTATAAGCCTTGCAGAACAATTAATTTCACAGGTATAACAGGTATCAGGACAGAAAAACTTGATGCACGGTGGAAAACAATGAATGCACATCTAATGTTTTAACCATGTAAAGCCTGACATTAGAATTTATAAGTCAGAGGCAGTCAGATTTTCAAATGTTTCGCCATATGCCTTTATGTATTAACGTCACACGCACAAGCTCAAAAAAAGAAGACCTGGCTTGATGTTTGCCTCAAATGCAAAACGAACACTATACATGATGAAGATAAGATTCACCCAGTTCTGACTAAGTTCTCCTTGAATACTCTTTCAACATGCTTGCCATCATCAGATTCATCCTCTCAAGGAAGAGGTCCAAACACAACCAAGGTTACAAAATGTTCATCCACACGTTGCATGCATTTCCACATTTCCACCAGAGAGGTCTCCAAATCCCCAAAACTTTCATAGTGTAGCTTTAAGTATGAAATTAATTTCTATGACTTACGAATAACATGTAGTTACTGAATAATAAGCCTTATCATTTTTACATGCTGGTTTCTATGCAAATTTCTATGCATCACAGTAGAACTGGTTTAATCACAGTATGGTAGCTTATGGCAGCACGCAGCCATTTAAACAATGTCATGGTGATAGCTTTGCTGGAATAACAATGATGTTCCTGCTCATGTGCAGGGTGATGGTGTTATAATATTTTATCCTAAAAAGTGTTTTGAACACATGCTAATGTATCTAACGCCATGTTACCTTTAAAGTTTGGCCTATGTTGTGTATGAACAGTTACTGT